TCCCAGTGAACAAGGCAGAAGCTTCACTGCCCTTATGAGCTAGTCTGGGAAGTCACAGAGCATCACTTCTGCCAAATTCTATCTAAGGAAGCAGTTGCAAGCCTGTTCAGGTTCAAGGAGAGAAAAGATATATCCATCTGTCAATGGGAGAAATCACTGAATTTTCTGGCTTTTTTTTTTAAATACCGCAGGGTGTAAAGGTCCATGGAAAGTATAAGAGTGTGCTGGAACAATTCCTTGGTATAATCAATGACATCTTTGTTTTCAGTCAGGCACTCTGCCTCGCCAAGCGTAGAACATTCATGTCTAAACAATGTCGAACATGAACTGGATTTGGTTGTGAACAAGCTTGTCTCGCTTTCTCTTGAAGATAAATGTGTAAACTTTAAAAAGCTCCTTTGGCGGAGGCAGCATCTGCAGGAGCACTAAAGCATCTGAGAAATGTTGAAAATTCAGTAACCTGTCCAGTTGCTTGTGGGTCATGAAGACTCAGCCTTGCCTGCCAAGATGGGGGAGGGGAGCAATAAATGACTCCAGTCCTTGAAGAATCAGGTTTTTGACCTTTCTTTTAAAGTTAAGTATTTTTAGTTAAATTCAATTTAGGTCATGTAGAAAGCTGCAGTTCAATTTTCTTTTTAAAAATAAGTTTCCATAAGCTGGTATAATTTATTTTCCTCAATCATCCAGTTTAAATTATTAAGGGGCTGTGTTTTGGTACTTAATTGGGCAAAGCATTAATGACCCTGGTGAAAATGAGAGGGAATGGCTGTGTTTATATCAGGCCTGTTCCTGTTAGATTCTATTTTCTGAAACAGTAGAGTTATTTATTTATTAAGAACTATTGACCCAAATAAATTGTCTGAGATTCATTACTGCTTTGCCAGGTGGGGCCCTGGGCTTGGAGCTTAAAGTGACCAAAGCCTTACATCATCTGCTCACCATTTTTGAGCAAGATCTGTAAAGAACACACCGCAATAGCTAGTCAAGAGTAAAGGGGGCAGCCTCAACAAATTCAGAGATTTGTATCACTACTTTGGTTTCAATTGGTTATTTAAATAATTATTTAATATTCAGAAATGATGGTGGATAAACATCTTTTTAAAAGCTGAATTCCCGAAGCTACTTCTTCTGATTTGAAACTACTTTTTAAAAAAAATCTATTTTATTGACGTATAGTTGATTTACAATGTGTTAATTTCTGCTATACAGCAAAGTGATTCAGATATATATATTTCTTCATATATGGTTTATCATAATCTTTTCCTTATGGTTAATCACAGGATATTGAATATAGTTCTCTGTGCTATAGAGTAGGACCTTGTTGTTTATCCATTCTACATATAATATTTTGCATTTACTAACCCTAAACTCCCAAGCCTTCCCTCCACCTTTGGAACACAAGTCTGTTCTCTATGTTTGTGAGTCTGTGAAATTATTTTTTGTTGCTTACTTATCCTACATGCTTCTCTCAAAACCATAATGTGTGAGAGAAAGAATTTCTATTAGGCAGACATTAATTCATATCCTGCACAATTAAGTTAATGTAGATAAGTTACTCAAACTTTCTTAGACAGTAATCTGGTCAGAACAAAGTAGGAAAATAACACCTGTTGGTGAAAGGAGATGCTTACTTACTTTGCCATTGCAAAGCCTGGCACGGAGTGAACTGGAACATATTAACTGTTGGTTATATCACCTACTTTTTGTATCTGCAATGGCCCAGCACAGGCAGAGGACATAGCGGTGCTCCATACAGATGATGTAGGCTCAAGGCTCTTGTGGCCTGAGAATTGCCAAGGCTGAACTTACTCACCTTCATCCCCTCCATGCCAGGTTGTTAGTGCCTTTCTTGCAAAAGATATAACTCAGGTTTATGACTGGCATTTCAGAGACCTGGGAAGTAAGGATGAAATGGAGACATTTTTACAATTATTGAACATTGACTATGTGCCAACACATCGTCAACATACTAAGAGTTCTACATATATTTTCTCATTTACTTCTTGTAATGACCTACTTATGAAGTAGGTGTGAAAGTGAAAGTCACTCAGTTGTGTCCTACTCTTTGCGACCCATGGACTATACAGTCCATGGAATTCTCCAGGACAGAAAACTGGAGTGGGTAGCCTTTCCTCTCTCCGAGGGATCTTCCCAACCCAGGGATTAAATCCAGGTCTCCCACATTGCAGGTAGATTCTTTACCAGCTGAGCCACAAGGGAGATGCTCCTTAATCAACCAACCCAAAATGTAGTGGCTGAATGCAACCATTGATTACTTTTCATAAGTCAGTTGGGCAGCTCTGATGTGGGTCAGGATTGGTTGGTCTTGGCTGGACTTGCTCATGTGTCTGCGTTCAGCTTGTGGGTCAGTTGCTGACTAGTCTAGGATGACCTTGGCTGGATGGATAGCTCAGCTCCACTCTGTGTGGTCTCTCAGCCTCCAGCAGGTCACCTCTTGGTTGACCTGGAAGAGGAAGAGAAAACATGCATGGTTGCTGTCCTACTGGCCAAAGCTAATCATGTGGAGAATACATCCAAAGAGAATGAATTCAGGGTGGTGTAAACAAACAGGGGCCATTAGCACACTTGATTTTTTACAACAGGCATAAGTCATCACCCCTATTCATAGAGGAGGAAATAGAAGTTAGCAATGTTGTTAGCAACTGGCCTGCCTCCTGGTGTCTTCTTCTGCTGTGTTCTTTCTGGTGATCTGCTGCATGGGGCTGGGGATGCTTCCCCATCAGCTGTATGTTCCCTTCTTTCTCATTATTTGGTATGATTTGAAAGTCCATGTAAAATTTTGGGAACTAGCCAACTGGTCTTAAAAAACTCAATAGAATGACATCAAAAGACAGAGCAGATAAGTCAGTAAAGTAAGTTTATTTATTAGAAAATGAAGGGGAGGCAGATATGTAATTGGATGGAGCATGGAGTTGTTTAGTTGCTAAGTTGTGTCCAACTCTTTTGTAACCCCATGGACTGCAGCCCGCCAGGCTCCTCTGAACATGAGATTTCCCAGGCAAGAATACTGAAGTTGTTTGCCATTCCCTTCTCCAGGAGATCGTCTCCACCCAGGGATAGAACTGGCATCTCCTGCACTGGCAGGCAGATTCTTTACCACTGAGCCAACCTGGGTAGCCCTGGGTGTGTAGCATAAATGGAAGAAAATGAGACACATCTATATTCTTCCTCTATTTGCTGGCCTCCCTGATTTTGCCTGGGTCAACGATTCCTTCTCCACAGCATCCTTTCTGGATCCCGACACCAAGTCTGGAAAGCGCAAGGGCCTGGTGTGGGCCTGAGGCATTTTTTAGCCCTTTGACCTTGAACAAGGAAGTTTGCTCCATTTACTCCCGTGTGAAAGGAGAGTAACAGCACAGACGCAGGTTGTGCAGGTTAAAGGAGACGGGCAGGTGAAGCGCCCCTCCTGGGTTGAGGCTCCCTGCAGCCAGTGTGAGTCATGGCTCTACCCCAAGCACCTCTCAGTGCCTGGAAATGCAGAAGAGTCCACCTGCACAATGGCAGTAGCTCTGGGTAAGCTGCCAAGCCGGGCGCAGAGTGACTGAGCAGCTCGAGGGCTGTTAATGGATTTTATGGCTTTGTTGAGTACCCCAAACTATAGTTATTAATTATAGGATGCTGTTTAGACACCGTTGAGGCATATACATTTTGTTAATTGATTTGTATAGGCTCATACCTAGCAACATAAAGAATGTGCCTAACACAAAGCATTGTAATTGCCTTTTACAGCCTTCTTTGGCTTCTCACACAGGAACAAAGACTTTAAAGAGAGGATGGACAACTCTGCTGGGTCTTTGGATGGTCTAATGTCTAATTTAGTGTCCAGTGGCAGGGTGACATTACCTGTCTAGATGCTCAGTAAAAGGGATGAATCAATGAATAAATAACTTTTGGTTCTCTCTGCGTCCTTATTTGAACCCTGACCTGTGTGTGATATTGGCACTGCATACATGTATGTGAATACGGTCAAGGATTTATTGTGAGCCATTAATTAGTGTTTATGGAATACCTGTTTGAAACCTCTGTGGCTTGGGGGTGGGGAGGGTCGTCAGGAGTGCATGGCCCTTGCACTCTGGGAACTCACAATTACTCACGAGGTGTTACAAGGCATTACGTCAGGTGGCCTGGTCTTAAGATAACGTGTAGTGAAACAGAAAGGTGGTAACTTCTTGCCTGGGCACCATACTGCAGCGAAGTTTCTGTCCCACTGTAGCCTCGGCAGGCCCAGCGCCCCAAGTCTGCCTTCTGTGATCTGGTCCATCAGCCTCAGGGAGCCTTGGCTGTCCCTGCCTCTCCAAGATGGTGCGGACTCCAGCCACTGCCCTTCCGGTCCGCGGTGATGCACACGGCTCGGCAACTCCGACCAGCGCTCGCAGCACGCGCGTTCTCCAACTCTAGCGTGGGCCGGGCGCCCTCCCCAGACCAGGCGGCATAGAACGTCCAGAGTCCGGGCCAAGGGCAGGACTCGCAGCAACGCCCCCGCGTGTCTCGGCGCGGATGTCAGCTCCAAGGGCGTGGCGGGACCCGGCGCCCTGAGTCCCCGCGGGCGACGCTCAGGCTCCCGGGGACCACTTCTGAGGAAGCCAGTCATCCCTCGAGGCAGTTATTTGCAAGCCGGAGCGAGAAGGGTGCGGGGCCAGAAGGCTCCCCGCAGCCGCCCACCCGGCCCTCTGGGAGCCGAATCCTTCCTGGAGCAGGAAAACTGGAGCAGGAGCGCCCGGAGAGCTCGAGGACAGCGGGGAAAGTTGGGGGCCGGGGGCGCGGAGCCGCGAGCTCACGGCCGCCGCCGGAGTCCGCGCCTCATGAATATGCAGGAGCCGCCTCCCCCCGTCCGTGACGTCACGGGCCGTCCCGGGGTGAGCGACGGAGCGGCTCAGGGTCCGTGCCAGTGAGCGCGGCTGCTGCCGGCGAGCGAGCGGCGCGGCAGTGGACACCGGAGACCGAGCGCGGCGAATCCCGAAGCGCACCCAGCGGCAGGGCTAGGCGGCCGGCGGCCCGGCGCGCACCGGGAGGGGAGAGCCGGTGCGGGCAATAGGCGGCGGCGGCAGTTCAGAGGCGGCGGCGGCGAGGATGCTGACCGGGAGGCTGTGCTGGGTGCCGCTCCTGCTGGCGCTGGGCGTGGGGAGCGGCAGCGGCGGCGGGGACAGCGGGCGGCGCCGCCTCCTCGCGGCTAAAGGTGGGTGCTGGGGAACTTTCTCCGTCTTCGAGGAGGAAAGAAGGGAGGGCTTGAGAGTGTAAGCAGCGGGGACCCGAGCTCACGCTGGATTTGCACACTCTTCCTTGCCGCAGCTTCCCGGCGTTCGTGCGCCCAGGTTGCCCGAAGTGAGCGCCCTGAGCCGTGGACTAGATAGATTTCACCTGCGGACGCCGACCCAGCCCCTGGGCGGGGCCTAGGGACCCTGGGGAAGGCGAGGTCTGGGGAGTCGGGTTAAGTCTGGGGGCTGTGTGCCCCGGGGTGGGGGCGTAGTGGCTGAGTCGCGGGCTCCGGCCGGGGGACGGCTCGAACAGGGCGCTGTTGAGGCGCGGAGAGGCAGTTGTCTGCTCCAGCCCAGAGGGAGGAATCAGCGGCGGCGCCTCTAAGGAGAGAGCAGGGCTCGTCTCCCAGCTCGGGGATGGGGTGGAAACTTGTGGGCTCCAGAGAAGGCTCCCCTTGGCTGGCCTCAGGTTCCCCCAGGGCGGCTCTGGCTCCCCTGGGAACGCGCGCCCTCGGGGTGGGCCGCCGAGTCCAGGAGAAGTGCGGGATGTGATGTTTCCCACAGCCCCTGCGACTGTGCTTCGGCCGAAGCGCAGAACCTGGTGACCTCCCTCCCCGCTACTCTGGTTCGCTTGGAGTTTTGACCTCTAGGCTCCTCGCGCCTCGGAGGAAGCAAGATCCGGGCGAACGCCTGGCGCGGTCGAGAGGCTGTAGGCTGGCGAACCACGGAATTTGCTGCCTTGGAGTGCGGGGAGGAGCGCTGGGGTAGGGGCAACCCGAGGGTGAACTGCAAACGGAAGGTCACGTGCTTGCTGGACAGTGGTGGGAGAGGCAAGGGAGGAGCAGAGCGAGGGGTGGGTGGCGGTGGGCGCCGGAGAGGCAATTCTAGGCTGGGGCGCCCAGCTTTGTGCTAACCTGTTGATTCTCTGCGCTTTACCTAGGAGGGCGTGCGCTTGGTTTAATCGTTGTGGTCAGATTTGCCCGTTAACCCCCTCGGGGAGGACCGTGGTCATTGACAGTCGTCAGAGGAAGAAGGAGTTTGCTCCAGTGGATAGAGACGCCCTATTAGAGGCAATCTGCTTTGCAAGCTGGCTTTGCACTGTAGCTTCCACTTGGCTCAAGAGGGAATGTTTTCTGTTTTAATTACCCTTGGAGGGTGGGGAGAGTACGAGGCAGACAGTTCGCCTCCCTGAGAACCTCGGAAATGCCTCTCCCGCAACTTGCGAGTGATACAGTTGAGAAGGATAGTAGAGTTTCTGTTAGTTTTGTGGTGACATGGTTTTTGGTGACATGATTTTATAAGCAGGCATCCTATTTCTTTTCATCCCATCACCCCACCCCCATCTTTGAGAAGTAGTTTCTTTTGGCGGAAGACAGCTGAAAACTGATGATGAAAATGTCTCAAACATGTGGCAAAGGTAAAGGAATGCGTAAAGAAGTCGCTTATCACCCGATAGACTGTTGTTTTTGTGAAAACGGAATTAATGAAGTTCCAAAACTTTTGCTCTCCTTCCCCATATAAAAACTTTGTTAAACAGGCGGGTGATATCTATTTAATTTTTTTCGTCACTTTGTAGCAGAGCAAATGGTGTATGTATGAGCAGATGTCTGCAAACAAGGGGGCTCACAGCAAGTGAAGAAAGAAGGGAAAACTTGTTTGAGAAGAAGACCTGGTATGCTAATGCATTGCGGGGTTCCCAGGTTAGAATGGAAAACGGTACAGATAAAGAGAAAGATTGAAAAGAAAAAAAAAAATCCAGGCTCTCAGTGATTCACGCTCATATGAATAATTATGTGCATTTTAACCAACACTTTTCATCTTCCCCACATAGAACATACTCATTTCGTGCTGAAAACAAGCCCTTTGTCTTTCTGGAGTAATAAGTTGATTGGTCTGCTGAGTACCAGTTGCTCTCTGAATCACCCGTCTTCCTTCTTTTTCCTACCACTGGGGGGCTGCAAAGGGCGTTTTTTAGCTGCTTTTTTTTTTTTTTTTTTTTTTAAGACAAATGTGTAATACTTGATCAAAACAGAGACATTTACTATGACACTTCAGTTGGGGAATACAGGACTGACTTTCCTTATCACAATGCACATGCATTTTACGTTTCCAAATTTCAAATCATCTCTGAAGAATGTTTGAGACACTGAAGGTTATGCTTTGTATATGATGCATCCTGCCACTGACTTTGCAGTTTCTAACATTCATGTTGTTGTTATTCCCATATGACTAAAGAAGAGAAAAGTCAGGAAGGCATGCAAAGAAGATTGAATGAAAAATACCCTTCTTTTCCCATACAGTTCTGAATTCATGTGTAGAGGAAGATTGGGAGTGGGGTGTCAGGCCTCCTGGCAGACTTGAATACACCCTCTGGACAACTGTCTGGAAGCACATCTTGCTGGCTTGGGCTCCTGTATGATGATGTGTTTGAGGCGCACAGCTGGTTCTGCCTTTGTGTTTCTTGCTTCTTGCCTGTAGGAAATCGAGCAGCTAAGCCCTGAGAACCGTTTTTGCAAGATCTCTGCAATTTCAGTGCAAACATATTCCCGACTTCAGAAATAATACAGTGTCCAGGGAGCTATTATAACCCCTTCCTTTTACTCTTCTGTATCTTGGCTATTCAAATAGGCAAACACTTCCCAGGTGCCTTGAAAGAACCAGATCCTATGCAAAGCTGAGAGGGTATTGTGGACCCTAGGAGCCTCTGGGGCAGAGAAAGGCATGTCTTATCCAGGGAAAAAAGACAATACAATAAACATCTTAAGATTTGTGTCAAATTTGTGATATATCAGTGGTCTCAGGTCTCATGGACCTGGTACACGAACCCTTTTCAGTTCTCAACATCCAGGCATTGGTTGTTCAGAACAATACTTTGAGTATGTGCTTTGCTTAGTTGCTCAGCTGTGTCTGACTCTTTGCGACCCCATGGACTGCAGCCCACCAGGCTCCTCTGTCCATGGAGATTCTCAAAAAAATAGAAGGCTATTTTTCATTCTCCAAGAATACTGGAGTGTGTTGCCATGCCCTCCTCCAGGGGATCTTCCTAACCCAGGGGTCTCCTGCATTTCAGGCAGATTTTTTACCATCTGAGCCACCAGGGAAGCCCAAGAATTCTGGAGAGGGTGGCCTATCCCTTGTCCAGGTGATCTTCCCAAGTCAGGAATTGAACCAGAGTCTCCTGCATTACAGGCTGATTCTTTACAAGCTGAGCTTCCAGGGAAACCCATACTTGAGTATAGACCATCAATAATAACTGATGTTGTGTCTGTCTATGTTTCCAGAGCCTGGTTCAGTGCTTTGGAGGGTTCTTAAAAAATATAAGAAGACCACCCCCATTCCCATCTCACAACTGCCTTGCTTTGAGAGCTTTGATCTGGTTGAAGAGACAAGATTTTTATGTGAAAACCTTAACGGAATGATACAGCAGGCTGAGTTTGTACCAAGTGTAGTACCATACGATGGGGACATAGACAAGGGAGATGGGGGTAGGAAGGGGCTTGCAAGTGCAGCATTTGGTAATAAGGAGGGGAGAGGACAGAGCGGAATTGTAGCAGGAGTGGTATAATTGTAGTAATTGCAGTTTCTGGAACCTCCCCTTAGTGTAACAGGCACTCTGCTAATCTCTTTACCTGGACTGTCTTTCATATTTACAAGTCATGCAGGGCAGCCCACTTTCCAGAGAAGAAACTAAGTCTGAAAGAGGGCAAATGACTTGCCAGAGCCACCAGTGAAGGTTGTGACACTGGGGTGAGAATGAGAAGGCTCGCCACGCTCAGTGCCCCCTGACCGTTCATCACGTGTTCTCCCCGTTGGATTTAAAGGCAGATCTAGCAGCCATGGAGAAGCTGACTATATCTCTGAGATCCCCAGGAGCCCTATGGTCCTGCCTACAGCAGGAGAGTCCAGGGCTGTCTTGAGGGGCCTGTCAAGAGGTGAAGGGAGTGGGCCTTGTTCTTATTCCTGGAAACCTGCTTCGAGCAGCAGCCTCATCGTCCTTCTCACAGATTCAGAAACCATCCCTGTCTATTCCAGAGTGCACATGCAGGACCTCCTACGGGGGGAAAGTGGTGTGGGATTTTTATGGTGAATTGTCCTGTATCATCTCTGGGAAAGTAGCATGTGAGTTCTAGCGATGTGACAGTAGTTTCCCCAACAACTGAAGCACAGTGACAGAACGTCCCCAGCAGTGCATCCGAGGGCACATGCTGACCTGCACTCATCCCAGAGTACCTGTGGTTCTTGGGCCAGGATGTGCTCATTCCTGCCCTGGGCCCTTTGGGCTATGTCTTTGGCCTGTAAGGTCACCTTGCTCATCCTGATTCCTTCTGTGACTCAAGATATGGCCAGGGCTGGACATGGTCTCCCCTGGGAGCCTCCCCTGACTGGTCCCCCAGTCTGGTCCCCCAGGCTGCCACTCTCCCTCTGGAGTATCTGTGCTCCTTGTCTGGCCTATCACCACCCTGTAAGCCCTGTGAGCTGGAATCTCATCCTGATGCTCCCTGCATCTCCAAGGTTATCCTTCTGCCTGGCCTCTGGAATATCAGCTGAACAATCAGCTGCTGTTGCTGCTAAGTTGCTTCAGTCATGTTCGGCTCTGTGCGACCCCAGAGACAGCAGCCCACCAGGCTCCCACGACCCTGGGATTCTCCAGGCAAGAACACTGGAGTGGGTTGCCATTTCCTTCTCCAATGCATGAAAGTGAAAAGTGAAAGTAAAGTCTCTCAGTTGTGTCCCACTCTTCGCGACCCCATGGACAGCAGCCTACCAGGCTCCTCTGTCCATGGGATTTTCCAGGCAAGAGTACTGGCATGGATTGCCATTGCCTTCTCCAGATTAATCGAGTGATTGGCTTAGTGAATCCACCTGTTTCAGGTTGCAGTGGTATTGTTTCACAGACATTTTGGATATTTTCATTTTTCTCCTGTCCTGTAGGAAGGAAAATTTGGGCTTAGTAACCAGAGAAATCTGGGTCCTAATCCTGGCCCTACCCCTTCCCAGTTAGATCTTGGGGGAATCAGTTAATTCTTTGAACCTCAGTTTCTTTATAAAATGGGGATACAAAGATCTGCCTTGCCAAGTAGTTGGCAGGACAGTGTTTAGAAATCACTTAGTGCAGTTCATGGCATGTAAACAGCATTAAATATACAGTGACTATAATTTCTGATCATTTAAACACTGGGTTCTAACATCTGAGATTCTCCATTTCTGACTGACCTCTTGGCAGTTCAGTAGTTTTGTTCATACCTTCTCTCCATTCAAACTCTGTTCTCTCTGTCTCTCTCCGTATATGTGGACATAGTGATATATAAATAAACGTACACAGCGACATTTGACTTGAATTATGAAAATACTACTCTACGAATACCTTTGAGGCTGGGACCCATATCTCATCTCATTAATCTCTAAAGCCCTGGCACTTAATGCAGGGTGAGCTCTGAGGACTCAGCAATGTATGTTATCTAAATAAACAAACGTCTCTCAGTGCTGATGCTGAAGGTATAGGATTCTGGTCTCTGGTGTGATTTGGGTTGTTAAGAGAAGTCCCCTGACCAGTGAATATTTTCTGCCTAGCCTTGCTGTCCCAGGAAACAGAGAAGATTTCTTTTTTTGTTTGTTGAAGACATTGACCGTTTCTGTGATGGTGCATGTTTATGTGGGAAGGGGTAACTGAAGCTGTGGTAACCAAATGGCAGTTTGAGACAGATTATTATTTTATAATTTATTATTTAGCCCACCACTAATTGGAACCTGTGGAAATTGGAATGGTGGGTTTGTGGATGGATCATGAGAAAACTGAGCTGGGGGAAGCAT